TTCCAGGGATGAACGGTTCAGGTTCGGGTGCCTTCGGTCGTGCAGAAACCACAGCAGGTGCTGGCGCCGGCACCTGTGTGCCCAGGAGTCCACGTTCCTGGAGTTCGCCGAGAATCCGGTCACGCACCTCGCGTTCAATCTCTCGGCGCATATTAGCAACAAACTCGTTCCAGAGTTCCGGCGTCATATCCGACGGCCCAGCCATAGGGTCTAGAATATGGCAGGAGCGTGCGAAATAACAAACCAGGCTCTGATACTAGTGAAACGTTGCTGGCAGGGAGATAGTAGCCTTAGTAGGCTTGGAGAATGAGTATAGAGTGCTCTCTGGAATTTTCTGGAAATTGCATTATGACTTCACAAATTTCAGAGTACAATTTTATAGAGCACATTCAAACATCGAGTCGCACTCCCAAGTCGCGACTTTCTCTGAATTTCTCAATGGTAACCCAACCCTTTGAAATGAACCTGCCGTGAAATTCAGAGAATTATTGCGGTACGGGATTGGCCGGCGAGCTTGGTTACGGGGCTGTAATTTCGTCGGTGTTGTTGGCGAAGTCGGCGAGCGGTCGGAACTTTGGTGTCCTGCGTTTCGTAATTTTCGTGCGTGGGATTGACTTGGGCTGCGTGTCGGAATCTGGTCGCCCAGCTGCAGGTTGAGGCGTTTGACCAATCCGAACTGTAGGTGAGGTGGCGCTTGACTTCCGCCCACCTGCACTGTTCTTGGAAGTGTGTTGCTGCACTGTTACGAGTGACTTCCGCCCACCTGCATTGCAGTTGGCAGCATTCGGCTGCTGCACTGTTACACAACCTCTCTGTCTTCTGCTGGACAGCAACTCTCAGCAACCTCGACTCGCTCAGCTCTTCATCTCCACCCTTTCCGTCCGAAGCAACATCTCTGTCTTCTGCTGGACAGCAACTCTCAGCAACCTCGACTCGCTCAGCTCTTCGTCTCCACCCTTTCCGTCCGAAGCAACCTCTCTGTCTTCTGCTGGACAGCAACTCTCAGCAACCTCGACTCGCTCAGCTCTTGGTCTCCACCCTTTCCGTCCGAAGCAACCTCTCTGTCTTCTGCTGGACAGCAACTCTCAGCAACCTCGACTCGCTCAGCCCTTCGTCTCCACCCTTTCCGTCCGAAGCAACCTCTCTGTCTTCTGCTGGACAGAAACTCTCAGCAACCTCGACTCGCTCAGCTCTTCGTCTCCACCCTTTCCGTCCGAAGCAACCTCTCTGTCTTCTGCTGGACAGCAGCTCTCAGCAACCTCGACTCGATCAGCTCTTCGTCTCCACCCTTTCCGTCCGAAGCAACCTCTCTGTCTTCTGCTGGACAGCAACTCTCAGCAACCTCGACTCGCTCAGCTCTCCGTCTACCTCATGTACCTCTCACCCCCACCTCCCTCTTTCCCCTCTCCCCGTCTTCCTTCTCCTCCGTCTCTCCCTCCCATTCCCCCACCCGAAACCATTTCAGCCAACTGACTCACCTGAATCTCAGCTTACGTTTTTCCGACGATATAAGCGTCTTCTGTTACAATGATTGGCCTGCCCTGCCTCCTCTTCACGCCTTCCCTTCGCTCCGCGCCTTCTCCCTCAACTTCTGCCCGAAGGAGATCTTCCCCCTCCTCCACTGCTCCACGCTCACTTCCCTCTTGCTCTGGGAGACTCGAGGAAGCTCCCTTGCCTGCCTCGCCTCCTCTTCCTCCGCCTTTCGCTCGACTTTTCAATCCCCGCCATCCAGAATAGCGACGTAATAAACTGCCTCCATTGCATCTCCTCCTTCACTCGCCTCTCCTCCCTCTCCATAAGCTCAAGCCGTTTCACCCCCGGCGAGCTCCACTGCCTCTCTCGCTCCCTTCACTCTCTCTCCTATTTCAGCATCGGGCAGTGCGAATGGATCGGTAGCGATGCAGTAGCAGCCATGGTTCGAGCCAACCCGGCCCTCTCTACTCTCCCTCTCTCAACCTGCTCCTATCGTCTCTTCAGGCCCAAAGGCCTCGCGGTCATGCTCCATCTGTCGTCCCGCAACCTGCACTCGTTGACACTGTCGGGACTGCCGTTTTTCCGCCCTGGTATGCTTGCGGGCTGCTGCAAACTGGAGTCAGTCAGTATTGACCAGGCAGAGGGGTCGCTGGAAGGGCTGCTGAGCATGCTTGTGAGGCTGGATGAGGCCAGGGGAGGAGCACTAGGAGGTGTGGGTGGGGGCGCGCATGCGGGTGCACATGCGGGTGTGCGTGTGGGTGTGGTCGCGGGTGTGGGTGCGGGTGCGGGTGCGAGTGCGGATGCTCCTGCAGCGGCAGTGGAAAGGAGGAACAAGGGTGGGCGGAGAAGCTACGTTGATATCCGCGCAGCAGCAGCATCGGCGCTCGCTGACGCTGCCTCATCATGGAAGGACGTGCGCCAGCTTCACAGGTTGGCCGGGCAGGTGGTAAAAGTTGCACAGTCCGAAGCGCAGTCCGCGCATTCCGCCCATCCCGTGCATCCTGTGCATTCCGTGGCACACCAACAGGAGCGGAAACGAGCCGCAAAGCACGCCATCGCAAGGGTCATGACGGCAATTTCCGCCTGCCAGTCCGCCTCTGCAACGGCGTGGGACGAGAACGCTGCGAGAGAGAAGGCACGTGCTGTGGCGCGACTCTCCACTGCTGCTGCCGGCGCCTTGGGGGTTTCCACTGAGCATTTTTTCGGAGAAGAGGAAGAGGAAGGGAGGCGGTGAGCTAGGAGGCGTGGTGCTTTTCAGCGACAAGGAATACCGTGCAGGAGGAACTCCGGGGGATGGTGTGCCTCTGATGTCACGTGAAGAGCTGCTTCTGGTGCTTGATGGTTTTTCAGAGCAGCTGTGCCTGCGTCTCTCAGCCATGAATGAGACCGCTGCTTCGCTGCTCTCCTGGGGGTATAATGAGGGCCAAGCACAAGGGCCGCGAGCAGCAACGGTTGAGGCGCCAGGAGTGCAAGAGGGAGCACCAAGGGAGGAAGGACAAGAGGAGAGATCAGGAGGAGAGATCAGCAGCTGAGACGTGCGAAGGAACTGAAAATGCAACGCCAGTGGTCTGCCCTTGCCTGTCCTCCATGGTCCTTCAAAGCATCAAGCTTATCCCTACTTTCAAGCCTGCTTTGCTGCCTGAAAATCCTCTCTCTACATCCCCCCCTTTGATTCCAGTTTCCCGGTCTCCTCCCTGCTCTACGTTTCGCCCCTCAGCCTCCCTCTCCTTCCTCGGTCCCTCCCCAAGTGCTCCCGCTCAGCAGCAGTCGTTTGAGAGCATCGCCTTGGCAGCTGTGTTGGGCGGGCTGAGGCTGTTGGAAGTGGTGCGGTGCAGTGGGGTGGGGGGGAGCAGCTTAGGGCAATGCTGCATGTATGCCGAAAACTGGTGGAGCTGAGATTAGAGCATAGTGGGGCCATGTCAGATTCTGTCCTGCTCGGATGCACTCTCGGCTCACTCACCCATGCCACTCTCCTAAATTGCAAGGCAGGTTACTGCTACTGGTGTTGTAGGGTTGCTTGGAAGTTTCCCAAAGTTGAGATACTTGAAGGTGGAAGAGGAAAGGGTTTCTGAGAGGGCTCAGAGGAAATTGCTTCGTGCTGGTGGTGTTGTTAGGGGGTGCGGGTTTGACGTTGGCCTGCTCCAGACATGTCCTTCTTGCAGGACTTCAATTTACAGACTAGGTTTGGGATAACGTTGTACATAGTGTGATCCTCTAACTTACACATTCACCCTGTCCTAATTCTCCACTTCCCAAAGCCTGGACACCTGACTGGTCTCTTCTGTACACCACTTATATTACAACGATGTCTACCGCTGGCATTGCACGTAACCACTCTGGAACTCCTTTCACCCCCTTGCATCCACAGATCTCCACTTGCCAAAGCCTGGGCAGCTGGCTCATTGTCTCGGGCAGCTCAGAAAGTTTTGGCAAGCTTTCTAGCTCTAACCATTCCAGAGATGAAAGTAACCCTAAATTCGCTGGTAACTCCTCGAGTTTCCCACAGTCCGCTATGCTGAGCTGGGCCAATCGGGGAAGGTGGGGGAAAGAGTCAGGCAGGCAGCGCAGCAGGCTGCAATAATGCAGGGTAAATTGCTCTAGGCGGGGCAGCTGCCCAAAAGAATCAGGCAGGGCAGTGAGACCGGGCAGGCTAGAAAGTTTCAAGGTTCGGAGGCTGGACAAAAGGCCAAAAGTTGGGGGGAGGGACGAGAGGTGATCACACGAGGTGATAGTGAGGGTAGTGAGGTAGGGGGCTAAGGGGAGGGAAGGTGGTAGTGTGGCGAGGCTGTGGAGTTGAGAGAGGTGGAGTGAGGTGAGACGGGGTATTAGGCTGATGATTGAAGGCAGGTGTGTCAGTGATTCACAATCAGTTATTGAGATTGACTCTAACGAGTACATAGCAGCCATGCCATGACGCTGCTTCACATCCTCCAAATTTTCCAGCTCCTCCAGTTTCCCCTTTCCCTTTTCCCCCTCCTCCTTCTCCTTCCCTTTCCCCTCCTTTCTCCCCCATTCTCTCTCCTCTTCCCCTTCTTCACCCCCCTCCGCCTCCCCCTCTTCCCCTGTTTCTCCTGCTCTTTCTCCCAAGACAGACGTCAGGGACGCACATGATTGGATGACCAGGGATTGAAGGGAGGAGAGCCGGCAGAGAGAGGAGGGGAGGGCGGTGAGCAGGGGGCAGTGGCTGATGTGTAAGTGAGTGAGGGAGGGAGCGAGGAGGGAGAGGGAGTGGGGGATGGAGGTGACATGTGAGAGGTGTGAGAGAGTGAGGGTGGCGAGGGAGGGGAGGGAGAAGAGGGAGTGAGGGAGGTGTGTGATGTGCGTGTTGTCGTTTAAGTCAATGTGAAGCGTCACCAATCCTATCATCCCACCGGACCCTTCAAGTGTGTCCGATCCGGCAGCAGCAGCAGCAGCAGCAGCAGCAGCGCCAGCTACCACATCTGTACCCGTTATAGCCACTCCCGTTACATCAGCATTGGGAGTGGTGTGAAACGGGAGGAGGGTGAGATCAGAGAGGCCGTGCAGCTTTAAGTTGAGGAGAGAGGATTCGCGGGAGAGGAAGGGAGGGAGGCGGGAGATGCGAGGGCAGTCAGAGACACTGAGGGAGTGGAGAGAGGGGAGAGGAGTGGAGAATGGAGGAACAGTGTCAGACTGAAGAGTGTCACAGTGAGCGGCGTCATAATGAACAGTGTTATCCCCGTCAAAGAGTGATTCCATTTGGCCGTTACCGTTAAGGATCAGCTCCTGTAGAGACGGCAGGTGCATCCATGCGCGAGGCAGGGCGGTGAAGCGCGTGCAGAGAGAGACGCGCAGGCAGGTGAGCGATGGCAGCAGGGGGAGGGGCGTCTGGGAGGTGGAGGTCGTGGTGGTGGTGGTGGTGCTGCTGCTGCTACCACCACTGCTGTTGCTGCTGCTGCCACGGATGCCACTGCCGCCATTCCCCCCACCTGTTTCCCCGTGCGCAACGGGTCGCAAAGCCAAAGCCACTGGCGGAGAGGGCAGGCGGGTGAGCGCGCCACATGCGACGAGATGCAAGGAGCGCAGGGCGGAGAGCGCGGTGAGGGACGCGGGGAGACTCTGCAGCGACTCACAGAAGGAGATCTCCAGATGGTGCAGCGAGTGGGAGAGGAGGTGGAGGGAGGCAGGGAGGGAGGTGAGGAGTGGGAGGAAGAGGAGAGAGAGGGAGCGGAGGTGGGGCAGACGGCAAAGCTCGTCCGGGAGGGAGGAGAGGGCGGGGCAGTTGGAAATATTTAAGTCAGTGAGGGAGGCGGAGAGAGAGGCGAGAGCTTCCGCAGGTAACTCCTGCAGCTGCTTCCATCCAAATAGATCCAGCCGGGCCAGTCCTACCCTGCGCTCCGCCCCATCCTCCTTACAAGGTGCCCCGATGCAAGCCGCTTCTCCGTTCGCCCCTTCCAAAACTGCCCCGGATTCGCCATTTTCTGATTCTTCCGCTGCGCCGGGAGCAGGCGGGGGGGATGAGGTGAGGAGCGCGGAGAGGGGGGTGGCCAGCGAGGGGAGGGAGGCGAGGGTGAGCGCGCGGAGGCGGGGGAGGCGCGCGGGGAGGGAGGCGGGGACGGCGGAAAGCAGGGCGCATTCGCGGAGCTCGAGGGTTTCGAGAAGGGGGAGCGCGGCGGGGAGGGATGCGGAGAGGGCGCGGAGAGCGCGGCAGCGGTCGAGGGAGAGGTGGCGGAGGGCGGAGAGCGTGGGGAGGGGAAGTGCGGGGGAGAGAGTGTTTGACAAGGAGATGGAGGCGAGCGAAGTAACCATCGACGAGTTATTATCCTGAGCCAGTATGCTGCTATCTTGACGAGCGCCATTCTCCGACGCGTCTGCTGGATACGCATCTGAGATGCGCGAATCGTTTGGTCGAATGGAAGTCCCCACAGTCTCGTCGACGTCCGTCGCGAAGCCGGCTGGAAGCTTCTCCAGGGCTTCTGAGTCAATGAACAGACTGACGAGAGCGGAGAGTTGACGGAATCCGTCAGGAAGGAGTTTCAGTCCCCGAGCGGTGATTTTTAACGCCGTCAAGCGAGTCAATCCGCAGATTGAAGGAGGAAGAGCGGTCAGATTTGGCGGGCAGTGCAGCTCCAGGGACTCGAGGCGCGGGCAGGAAGAGAAAAGCGACGCGAGGCCGGCTTCAGTGAAGGCGGCGCGGTGGTCAGGACGAGATGACGTGGACGCGACGCGCCTGCCGCGAATGCTAACTGGCTCGCCCATGTTACCGAGATGGAAGTGAGTAAGCGATGGACACGTGGCAGCCAACTGAGAGAGGAGGTGATCGTTCGCCAATGAGAGGCTGCCTTCTGGCAGAGCGATCGACGTCAGCGATGTGAACGAAGCGACTCCCTTCAAGAATCGCCGGGTGCACAGCCGTCGCTCAGGCGACAGTGCGACGTGCGAGCGGGTCGCACATGCGACATGGTACCATCGGCGACAGACGAGGGCGTAACTACCGTCAGAATTAGCAGACCCAGAGTTGGAGATCCCGGAAACATCATAAAAAGAATCGCACAGTTTGCCGATGGATGGCTGGGAGCGACTAGATGCAGGCTGCGAAGAATGGTGGCTGTGCGACTGCTGCTGCGAACATGGCGCTGACGTGTCGCCGCCATGAGCGACGGGCTCAACGTAGCTGAATATGCGACCGAGTATGTCGTCCGAGAGGCCGTCGACCGGAGAGGACTCTAGACAGATGAGTTCGGTCGGTGCCGACAGTGGCGCTGGCATTGGACCGGTCTTGGCGTCGACCGCCTCGATCGAAATGTCAGCCATTGCTCCGAGCAATGAATAATACAGTTTGCTGGTGCGACTGCTAGTGACTGAGCTGGCTGGGAGCTACCGAGAAGAAACGAGTCACAAGAACTCCACTCTCTGACGTCCTGTGCTCCAGCATCAACACGCCTATATGCTAGAGGACGTTAGATCTAAGATGGAATGGACTAGCTGGCATATTTTGTGCCGGCCGACTGAGCGGTGCGGCGGAACTGACAGGATTGGACGGGACAGTGAGTTGATCAGATGGGAATCGCGGTCGCAGGTTGAGTACGGTGAATGAGTAAAATGGGATGCGCGGTGGTTTGTGGGTGGTTCGATACGGTGGTTTGATACGGTGGGAACACTGTCCCAACGAATTTTTTGGCCATGTGACATCGAATGGAGCCCGCGCGTGGGAGCGCGTCCTCTCTGACATCTCGCGCGGCATCGTCAGAGGAACAACGGAATGTTTCATTTGTAGCTGTTGTGATTGTTGGAAGGAGTCCATGCTCCAAACCGGTTGGACATTCATTAGTGAAGTATTTCACACCTAGGGGAATTCCTTGATCTCGCCGCCTAAATTCTGTCAGGCAACTTGAGATCGTCAATTCTATAAAATTCCTTATCAGTTGTTCATAATAAACCTAACGGCAGATTCTGTTTGCAGAAGTGGATGAAGACGTGTATCTCACCGACGACCAATACGAAATGTATGGACCCAACCCAACCGTCATTTGTGTGATCGCATCTCAGGACGGCTCAGCGCTCACGCTTCTTGGCTCGCGTACGGTCAAGAAACTTCTCCTGCTATGTGGTAAGAACATGTCAATCACCGTGAGGGAGACGACGAAGTTTCAGCAAATTCTACCCACGTACCTAATGATTGCTAAGGACAGGTGCAAGTTGTCTTGCAGCACGCGGCGGATGCGGATTTTATATGGAGACGGAAAGTGGAGCATGTTAGCATGGATAGCAAGCGGTTGGTGCTCGACAGGCAACACTCTAAAACACAGCGTACCGAAATGAGAGATCGGCTTATCCGGAAGCTATTGCAGTTCTCTTCAAAGGTGTGCCGGCAACGATCTCCCAAGAAATCGTCCAAAAGCGGCTGGTAACAGCAAGACTGGTGAAGCGCGGGCGCATGGCATTCTTGGAAGGGTTGGCCTTCCACAGGTTGCTAAATCTGGTGTTAGGCTTAGACATGGACAAGATCAAGGGGCCTAATTTACATGCACCCTTGAGATAAATATTGCTGGTGGCATATTCTAGCGGATCTGATCCACAAGAAGAAGTTGCGCCGTTGCGAGCCGAGCTACTTTCTGTACCCCCAACCCCCCTGCCTCCCCTCTCACCTCCTCCCTAGGAGCAGCGGCCACAATGAGGATCACCAGGTCCATGTAAACCATCGTGACAGATTCGGCGATCATCCTTACCTCCACGAAAGGGGTGCGAGAGGAGTGCGAGAGGAGGGGTGCAGAAAGACAAATGGTACCAGCTTCGTATAGTCATCCGAGCATTCAGCGTCGATTTGCCACTGCACAGGTTTGCTTCACTGGGAAGAGTTAATGCGCCAGAGCAAGGGGAAGCAGAGCCTTGCTACGGCCTAGAAGAAGTTATGCTTAAAAGCACCGCGCGGGGTTCAATAGTTGTTATTATTTATCCTATGTTATCATGCCTCTCGTCTTGAGCCATGCATAGCAAGAACGCTTTTTACTCGTAGGGGTTCTAAGAAACAAGAGAGCAAAAACTTTTTTTTTTCCCTTCTTTTCTTCTTCCTTCTTCTTCTGTACCATGCCATACAATGTGTATCAAAGCTCCTGGATGTGAGGGGCCTCCAAACAAGTGGATTATGGATAACAGCCATAAGAACATGATATGCATGGTCAATGTGAATGGCCTGAGAAGCAGCGGCAAACGAACTAAGAATAGACGACGAAAATGGAAAGTCGCAGACATAGAAATATTCACAGATATGCGCATCTTATGTATGTCACGCTAGGTGAAAATACCATCAGGTGTATTTCTACCTGCCCTGGAGTAGTTGCGCAAGTTCTTGCAACAGTGACAATTGCACGTTTTTCCTTCCAAGTCAGTCCAATGTTGAAATGTGCTTACCAAAGTGCACAGATTGGAGTGTACTTGGCGAATTCCGAAGCTCTGGTATGTGGTATGCAAAACCAGTATGTGCTATACGAAGTCCCGCTACTCCGCATGAGGCCGCTACACGCGAAACCAGGCGCGTGCAGGGCTTTGCCTCAACACCTCCACTCGAAGTCAGCGCAGGCCAGCTCCTGCATCGGCAAGGCGTATGTGTATTCCGCGCTGATCAAGTTCCTGACCGAAGCATGTTATGCTCGATCCTCGCCAAGCTGTCGGACCATTGGTTCGTGATGCGCATCTATCTCACGATGGCATCGCCACAGCGAATGGCCCAGAAATTTGGAGGTTACGTAAACAAGACGGGAGTTACTAGGTCAGTGGTTCACGAGATCACGGACAGCGTGACGAAGCGAGCAAGACTGCCCTGGAGGACCATACCGAAACTGAGTGCCGGCCTACGTGCGAAAATACGGGAGGAGAGAATGATGGCCAAGCCAACGACACCTCGAGGGGGAGGTGGAGCGTCTGAGACACATCGTCATGGCGGGTCCGGCAGACATACGGACAAAGCCGGCAGACATGGTACGGACAAAGGAACGGCTGCTAACAAAGGAGACATAGCTAGAAGCATTTCTGGAAAGCGGGAAGGAGCGTCTGCTGCGGAGAGTCACTACACAACGGGAGTGGACTACGGAGGAGGGCACGGGGTTGTGCGAGTGATCGTAGCGCTCTGCTAGCGTTCTTACTGCTTGCTATGTTCACTGAGAAGTTTGGCAAGAATTCCACTAAGGAAAGAACAACTTGCAATAACAAAGTTGATAGGAAAAGAATAGAGTACAATTGAGGCATGCAGAACAAAAGACTAGAATGGCATGGAACTCCTAGCAAGGGCGAACTCTGCCAGCGCAGCAGAAGCGCGGCTTGCCAACGCTGCAGCAGAGTAGTCTGCCAGCGTTGCACTGCGCGCGGTCTGCCAGCACTGCAGTCGCAGGTGACTTATCTGCAGTCGCAGGTAACTTTCTGCGGTCGCAGGTTGTCTATCTGCGCAGATGTGCGCACCTACCAAGTAGGTGCAGGTTGGCGGTTTCACCGTCAGGCACATTGCGCAGGTGCCAGGTAGAAAACGTGTCGTCGGTTTCGCCAGGTGCGCACCGTCGACCACGTGATGCCGTTCCGCAGGTAGAACTTCGCCAAAATCTCCTGGGCGAATGTTCGCACGCCTTCGCAGAGTTTCGCGCAACTCTGCAACTTCGGTCGCTCAGCTCAACTCTGCTCGGCAGAACAGAATCCGCCGAGCAGAACTTCTCGACCAGAACTCTTCGACCAGAGTTCTTCGACCTGTCAACGAGAACGGACTGGAATGATGAACTAGCAAGGATTGTGAGTACAAATATGAAACCCTAATGTTGTGACCCCCCTATAGGCTAACCCACTACAGCCTACACAAATACAACATGTATAATGTTTGACACACCCCCATAGGCAAAGTGGGGGAGACCTAGGGGTCACAAGACCAGTCAAGGCAAAGCAAGGCAACAACAAGCTCACGCAAATTCCGAGCACAAGCTAGTGGTCACAAGACCAGTTCACATGCAGGTTTATAACAGAGCAAGAGATACAGTGATCACAACCTAGCAAGAGTAAACATGCAGGTATAGATATATATAGTGATCACAGTACAAGCAAAGTCAAGAGGTAAGTAAGTGAGGTCCAGTAGGCACAAGGCCTAGTAGAGTGCAGAAGCGCTGATGGTCACGAGGCTGAAGCGCCTTGGTGAACACATCAGCAGTGTTGGCCTCAGTGGCCACGTAGCGAATACAAAGCTGACCGCGCTGCTGCAGCTCACGAGCAAGGAAGTACCGCAGGGCGATGTGCTTCGTTCTGTGCTCCAGTCTGTGCTCCTCACACAAGGCAATGGCAGCCTTGTTGTCGACGTACAGTACTGGAGGAGAACGAGGCCGCTCTCCGAGGTCGGTCAGCAGGTAGGTCAGCCAGCGTAGCTCCTGGGCAGCCATGGCTGTAGCGTAGATCTCAGCCTCGCAACTGGAGCCGAGAACAGAAGAAGAGCGTGTAGAGCGCCAAGAAACTGAGCCAGAGCCAAGGCTGAAGGTGTAACCCTGAGACGACCGCTGAGTGGCCTGGTCGTCTGCCCAAGAAGCGTCTGAGTGCCCTGTGAGAACAACTCGGTCTCGCCCTCCTAGCACAAGCCCCATGCCCGACGTACTGCACAAGTAGCGCAACACCCTCTTAGCGGCATCCATGTGCTCCTTCCTGTGACGGCCAGGAGCGACATAGCGTGCAAGGATGCTAAGAGGGTATGCAAGGTCAGGTCGAGTGCAGGTCATCAGGTACATGAGGCAGCC